TATATATATATATATATATATATATATATATATATATATAGAGAGAGAGAGAGAGAGAGAGAGAGAGAGAGAGAGAGAGAGAGGTGGGTTCAATTGAGAAAATAAAAAAGGTTCGAGAATAGGAGAATCATTCTCAGCCACTCATTTAATCTAAGCATAAAAAGATACGATGACAAACTTGTAAATATGTTAATAACATTCAATTTCAAATACGTATCGATAACAGTTCGTTCATCATCAAAAAATTTTCTCCAACCTTCAATAATCATCAAGATTTCTTCAACTAAACCGGAATTTCTTTGCTGTTTATGAAATTGAAATTGGAGTTCTGGACTCACAGTCACAGTCGACATTGAAGGACTCAGAATCGGTAATCACAGGTTCCCAATTGGATTTTCAGAAATCAAAATCAAAATGAGAAATCGATCAGACATAGGATGTCGCATCTGAAGTCGAAATCGGAAGTATATGATGATTTGGATTTGATAACTTGATGTTTTTAACATTTTTAAAATAGTTAACTTGTATGCACTCCAACTGTTTGATGAAATGCATAAACTAAATTACCACGTTATATTCACATATGAATATGTTTTCTCACCTGAATCAGTATATGATTATTAAAAACACAAAACAAATATGCAAGTCTGTATGTTATTCATATGTGAATAACATATAAAAATTATATATATTTGTCAAAATACCTTCAAATATTCATAAGTGAATATATTCAGAAGTGAATATACCTTGTAATATTCATATGTAAATATATATGTAATATTCATAAGTGAATATATCATCTAATATTTACAAGTGAATATAGTATGTAATATTCACATTTGATATAACATGGAATACTATATAATATTCACATATAAAATATTATTTAGTACTCATAAGTGAATATATCATCTAATATTCACAAGTGAATATACTATGTTAATATTCACAAGTGAATGCATCGTTCAATATTAAAATATGAATATACTATGTTTATTATATACTATATTCATATATGAATGATACATAAATTGTAAAAAAAATCATACTTTTTATTCATAAATGAATAATGAATGTACTGTAATAAAACCTAATGCATTTTTATTCACTTGTGAATAATGATAGCTGAAAATATAATTTTTTTTATTTTATCTTAAAACTATATCAATATAGATGTCTATTTGTAGAGAATAAAAAATCATGAATTTTGGTATATTTAAAATCATTTTTTGATAAAATAGCTTTTAAAAATTTAAAAAAATGAAAAAAAACTATGTTTTTGTATATATTAAGGTAAGACAAAATTACAAAAATGGTCCCTGTGTTTTGTCAAAAGTAACAAACTTAGTCCTTATCTATTTTTTTATGCATTTGGCCATTGTGGTTTGTAAAAGTTGCATTGGAGGTCCTTTTTCATAACACTGTCAATTTTAGCCGTTTGGGGCCATTAAGTTAGGGGTATATTCGTCTTTTTACGTTTGCTTCTCCACCCCCTTTAATAAGCCCTAACCAACGTTCACAAAAATCAAGCTAGCATCTCTGAAAGATCGAAGCTCTCATCTCTTGCAAGAATGGTGATTTGTACATGTGGAAGTGTTGCTGTGAGAGTCACATCTTGGACGGACTTCAACCCAGGAAGGCGATTCTGGTCTTGTGCTCGAAATGGTCGAAGCTGTCCATTTCTTGGGTGGGTGGATGATCCGATGTGCCATAGAGCTGTGGAGGTGATTCCTGGCTTGCTGAGGAGAATGAACAATGTTCAAATGATGTTGATTCAAGCTTGTGCAGATGTTGTGAAGCTCAAGTGGATGCTTATTCTGTCTTGGTTCTTTTTTTCGTTTATATACGTATGCACTAAGTAGTAGTTGGATTTGGGGATGTATTTGGTCAGTGTATTTTGGATATGTAATGTCGGATGGTGTGTAGAACTGGAATGGGATATTACCAGTTGATTTTGGGATGGGATGTCATGTATTAGAATCTTAATGTAATGTATGGTTTTAGTTAATCAGTTTAATGGCATTTTGTCTTATGTTAATTATAAAGCATTGTTTTTTTTTATTATTGATTAGGAATATTGGAATGGAATGGAAAGAGTTGTGTCCATTTATCAAAGATTGGAATGGAATGAGTTGTGTCTATTTATCAAAGATTGGAATGGAATGAGAAAAATACAAAATCAAAGCCCTATAAGTAAACAATGGAATGGAATGTGTTTTGGTCATTTATCAAACAATGGAATGGAATGAGTTTTGGACATTATCAAACAATGGAATGGAATGAGTTTTGGTCATTATTAAACAATGGAATGGAATGAGAAACACACCATATCAAAACATGATAACTGAGATCATTATAACCAGAAATGTAGCATGACATATGGCTAGTATTAACTTAATTACATCACTAATTTAGGTAGTTGCAAAAAGATGTAATTATCTAGATTAAACATGTTTTAACAAAAGCATCAACACAAGTTTATAATCTTAAACAAAAGGTAGCCAAATAACTTGATTAGTCATGCTTTCATTTGTATCCAACTTCACTTAGGTCCTACTTGAGGCTTTTTTTCCCTTGTCTATCTTCTTTGCTCTTAACCCACCCATGAAATCTTCACTTGATCCACCCACTGAACCTTGACTTGTTCCACTAAATGCATCTTTACTTGATCTACCCACACCACCTTGACTTGATCCACCCACTACTCTCTGACTTGACCCCCCTTGCCCCTTACATGTTCTAGAGTTATGTCCTTTTTTATGACACTTGGAACAAGTAACAGTCAAGAATTTCCTAGATAGGTTTTTTGATTGGTTACTAGCCTCATCTATAGCCCTCCTCCTCTTTTTCTTTGGCCTTCCAACCTACAAAAATATTAAGGAAATGTTAAAACTGGATGAATAATAAACTATGTTAACTAACATTCAACTTACTTGTGTGTGATGTGTAGGTGGTATAAGAGTGGTTGGACATCTAGATTTTGGCCACATGCTCCTGCCATTGATTGGATCTATTTTGTTACAGTACATTGCCCTCCATGTTTCTAGCTTATAACAAGGATGCACCCAATATTCAGGTTGTTGGGCTTTTTCACCATTTTGAATATGTTCCCATATTGCACAAACTCCATGCCTTCAGACTATCCCTGTTATCTCCCAATACCTACAACTACATGTACCTTCTTTCAAGTTGACCACATACTGATCAAACATCATACCAGTCACTTGATATTTTCCAAAACCACAAAAGAGTGCCCTATATTTGCTTGCAGCTGTTTTGATTATGTCAAGTATGGTAGTTGCAGTGGGGGTTAATAGACTTTTGCATTTATCAATTTCTTTTTGTACAATGCAATGTCTCTTCATCAAGTACACTCTTATGTACTCCAAACATGTAATTATAGGCTTGTCCCTTCCATGCTCTAGCTTAGAGTTGAATACTTCACACAAATTGTTTAAAAGACAATCTGAATGGGCTCTACCTGAGAAATGAGACCTAGCCCAATGAACTGGAGGAATCTTACTTAGCCATTCATGAGCCTCTGCACTGAAATCTTTGAACTCATCCATTGACCTTTCAAAGTGCCTAATGGTTGTATGTGTAGCACACCTCCATAAGTGATCTCTAAACTCTTCTCCCCTCCATTGCAACTTCATGTTTTCATGTATATGTCTCAAACACCATCTATGCTCTGCATTTGGAAACACTTTTGCTATTGTAGGTATTATGCCCTACATATAATGTAAATTATAGTTAGTATTGTTACAAGCTTTAAAAGATACTTATGTTATATGTATTATACCTTTTGTCTGTCAGATACAAAAGTGAAGTTGCATGATGCATCCAAATCCAAATCATCACAAAAGGCATTCTAAGAACCATGTCCATGAACTTGTTATCTCAGCTTCCACAACTGCATATGCTAGTGGATATATTCCATTATTGGAATCAAGACCTACAGCTGTTAGAATTTGTCCAGGGTGTGGTCCTTTCAAGAAACATCCATCCAATCCTAATAATTCCCTTTTTCCAGATTTGAACCCCAACTTAAGTGCTCCAAGACAAATGTATATCCTCTTGAAAATACGAGTTTGAACATCAGGATTTGGTTCATTACACACTTCTAGCTTCACTGTTGTACCTGGGTTATTGGTTTGTAACTCCAAACAGTAATCTCTCAGCAAATTATATTGCCTTTCGTGGTCACCATATAGTTGTTCCTTTGCAATCGATTTAGCCCTGAACACCTTCATTCTTGATATGCTTAATTCCAAATCCATTTGAAGCTCTTCTTGTAAGGCTGTTACTAGGATGCGAGGGTTGGAATCCACTTTTTGGAGAATAGTGCTTGCAAGATATCTAGATGTACATGCCTTCACATTTCTACTTTGTAAGCATAAATGCTCATCAATAACTGTCTTCACCAACCATTGTTCCTCTTCCGTAGATCTAGATATCTGAATAGCAAAAGGACAAGAATCTTTTTGTGAAATTACAGTTTTGCCCTTCGATGTGGCTTTACTTATAGTGGAGGCCCACCATCAGTGGAATCTGGAACCACCCCTTTACACTTGACTCTTACTCTCAATTTTTCATTTTTTGCCATGTATAGGGCCCTCCTTGTTTTTATTGAAAGCATCTTCACGTGACCTTGTATATCTTTTTTGGTTTTAAAAGCTTGACCCACAAAAAATGGTGTAACATGAACTACCCCGGAAGAACAAGGCACCTTCTTGTTCAGGTTTTTTTAACATTCTCTTCCTTAGGTCTTCCTCATATCCTGCACTTTCAAACTCATCATTGTTGATCACACCTAAATCATCATCTTGATTTAAATCTAATTCTATGTTAGGACCTTGTCCAAACCATTCAACCTCATCCACACAACTGTGAAACTCTCTCATATCAACCTCCCAGTCATCTAAAATAGCTTCTGGGTAAACAATGTAGTCATAATCATCATCTTCTTCTGTATGCTCTTCTGAATCATCTTTTGAATCCTATGCATGCCCTTCTTCATCTTCTTCTTCTTCAGCTTCAACCTCTCTTTCAAACTCACCTATATTCTGATATCCATCACTACTAAAAGGCTCAAAATCATCTAGCATTTCCCTATGATTCTGGCAATTAATATCAACTGTAATTTCTTGCATTGTATCAGTTTCTTCTGGTACAAGGAAATACGAATCATCCTTAAACTCATTAACCATGTCTTGTTTGTTTGGCTCAAAAGGAACTAGGGACATGGAAAAATCATACACACCATCTTCTCTCTGAGCTTGATTAGTTGATTCTATAAATGGGACATTCATGTCTAATTTCTTGCTACACGAACTAATTCCCTTCTTCTTAGGCCTAATCCTATTAAGCTCAGGAGAAGGATCATCATCTAGTTGCTCAATAACAACTTTACTTGGGGACATGAAGTAAGTATGAAGTCTTGTAGAACCATGTTCAACGTACACATTAATCACTCTGTTTTGAGGGACAAATTGAGTCATAGATATGACGTCTTGATCATTTCCTAGAGCCTTCAATCCAAAATCTAAGTCTAGATTAGGAATTCTATAATGATAGTACATTGTGTCATCCGCAGAATACCCTATCTCACGAATCAAGTCATTTAGATCATGAACTGAAAAAAGATCAGTGTCAACAAAGTCATAGAATGCCAACCTTCCCTCAACGTACTTTCTTCCTGGGAACTTTGAAAAAAATCCACCATGATGTATTTTTAAAGTGAAGAAATTGTCATGACCATCTGAAAAAGAAGAATGATGAGCCTTGAATATATAAAACAAGAAACACAAACAAAAGATGAAACAACTTACTGTAATCTTTATCAAGGTCGGGTGCAATCAGATGAGGACCACGTAAATTCCACATACAAAGTACCATTTTCAGTTGATAAAACCTAAAATCGGATGGGATGGATGAAGGATGAAGATCGTCAAGATGATCAATAGGCTAAGGTGAAAAGGAGAAGAATGGGGTTTCTTGGATCTGCTTAATGAGGATAAGTTAATGACGTATCGTTGCCTAATCCATCTTAAATGAGCACCAAATGTAAAAAGACGAATATACCCCCCAACTTAATGACCCAAAACGGCTGAAATTGACGGTGTTAAGAAAAAGGACCTCAAATGCAACTTTTACAAACCACAATGGCCAAATACATCAAAAAAAAAAAATAGATAGGGACTAAGTTTGTTACTTTTCACAAACCACAGGGACAATTTTTGTAATTTTGTCTTAAGGTAATGATTAGCATAGTTTAAGGAAATATGTTTTGTTGGAAAACACATATGCATTCCTTTCCCATTTTTGTCGGTACGTTGGACACTTTTACGGCAAAAATAAATGATTGGCTGAGAATGATTCCCCCATTCTCAACTTTTTTTTTCTCAATTGAATCCTCCCCTATATATATATATATATATATATATATATATATATATTATATATATATATATATATATATATATATATATATATATATATATATATATATATATATATATATATATATATAGGTAAAGGTTCAAATGAGAACCATAAAAAGTTAAGAACCATAAGAACCACTTTTTTACCTTATAACTTAAATCATCACACATGAAAACTTTTCTCTCGTCTCTCTCTCTCTCTCTCTCTCTCTCTTACCTCCTATCGCTGCCAACGACCATCACCATCAACGACACCATCACCATCGCCGGAATACAACGATCTTCATATCTGGAGTCAGCGCCTTCAGATCTGAAGCATTCACCTTCAGATCTGGTGCATTCGCCTTCAGATCTAGAACCCCCAACTTATATGCAATTACCACCGAGGGCCACCTCCTTCCACCGCCATCTATCTCACCAGCACCGACTATCGCCTTCCATCAGTGGCTTTGCTTTGCTGGAATACTTAGAAAACACTACACTTTATTTTGAAGTTTGAATATGCTTCTTCTCCATATCTCCAACATTTCAGATATGATGAAGCACGAAAAAAAATCTTTGATCTGCTTCATCGGAATAACATATGTAACAGAGTATGAAGCTCTTTGGCGAAATGTTTGACGAATTTGTAGGAGATCTATTATGTGTCGTCTCCTTCTCATCTATAACTCATTTCCGTCTCTGTCTCTCTTATCTCTGGTCAAAACACCATCAAATCGACATCAGATTTGATGTGTTTGTCCATTTTCAGGTTAGATCTGGTGTGTATGGTGTTTACATTGATGGTGCTTACAAAAGGAAGTTCTGGAAAGAAAAAAAAAAGATGCACACTAGGTGTTTGATGAAATGCTTCAATAAAATTTGGTAAGTTATTAAGCTGTAAATTTAGTTGTGAATGCATATTTTTTTGTATATTAAACTATGAAGTTTGTGTATTTAGTTGTGATATTTGTGTTTAAAACTGTGAATTGAATGCATTAAGGTGTGAATTTGTTGTTTAAACTGTAAATTGACTATATTAAGATGTGAGTTTGTATATTTAACTATGAATTAATTGTATTAAACTGTAAATTGATTGTATTAAAAATTTTAAGCTGATTATATGTTTTTGAATACATACTTTTTTTTGTATTAAATAGTGAATTTTCTGTATTTAACTATGAATTAAAAGTTTTAAGTTGATAATATGTTTTTCTACTTATATCTGTTGTAGATCTATATAATATAGTTTTTTTTTTGTTTGTTTTATTTTTCTTTAAAGTGTGAACTTGATGTTTTAACCTCTTATTTGTCGTATAGTTTTGTTAATCTTAGTTTTAACTGCTATTAAGTTGTGAATGTATAATTTTTTTGAATTAAACTTTGAATTTATTATAGTAGTTTGTGAATTTTATATATTAAATTGTGTATTAATTGTAATAAGTGTTTTAAGTTGATAATATAGATGCGAATACTACTTTTGTGTATTAAAATGTGAATTTAGTTTACTAAGCTGTTATTTTTGTGTTTTAAACTGTGAATTGATTGTATTAAGCTTTAAGTTTTCTTTTTAAACTATGAATTGGTTGTATTAAGCTGTGAATTTTTTGTTTGAACTGTAAATTGACTAGATTAAACTGTGAATTATGTGTATGAAACTATGAAGTTACTTGTATTAAGTTATGAATTCTGTGTATAAACTTTAAATTGACTATATAAGTAGTGTAAAGTTGAAAATATGGTTGTGGATGCATACTTTTTGTGTAATAAAATTTGAATTTTGTGTACTAAACTAAGATTTTTGTGTTTTAAACTGTGAATTGACTACATTAAACTGTGTATTTTCTTCTTAGACTATGAACTGACTATATTAAGCTGTGAATTTTGTGTATTAAATTATGAGTTGATTATATTAGGATGTGAATGAATTGACATTAAGTTGTGATTATTTTATAATTTTTTTTGTTTGGTTTTGAAATAATGCAAATTTTATTCACGGCTTAATATATTTAATTCACAATTTAATATATGAATGATTTATGTATAAATTTTTTTGTTATTTTTTTCTAAATATATTTCTTTTTTGTGAATGTAGTATTTAAGTTATTAATGCATGACTTTGTTTACAAATCTGATTTAGAAAAAATAATGATTGAGATGCTGGTACAGGTGGTTAGTGGCAGCGTGTGGTGGTGGTAGTAGTACAGTTTGAATTTTTGATTTCTTTGAATTTGTGAATTATTATAAAATGGGTTGTATTAAATTGTGAATTTAGTGAATTAAACTACAAATGGACTGTATAAACTTGTAATTTATATAAGTTGTGTATTCAAACATGAGAGCATATAAGAATGAAAATATTATACCGCAAAAATTACAATTTTGCCCTTTTTGTATCGAAAAGATAAAAAAAAAGGATTTTTACATGTTTAATAAAAATATCATGTAAATATTTACTAACTAATGGGGTTCTTAGGGTTCTTAATATTCTGTGGTTCTCATTTGAACCACTCCATATATATATATATATATATATATATATATATATATATATATATATATATATATATATATATATATATATATATATATATATATATATATATATATATAGGGAAAAGTGAATATATCCTTAAGGGTATATAAGCTTACGTACCCAAATTCACTATACTACGTCGTTTTGTATCATATAATACATTCTAATGTCCAATGTTCTTATAATTTAACTTCTAACTTAATTACTTCCATGATTTTTATAAATTACATATTTATCTTCCTCTTACATAATTTTCATTTTTAACTACAATATATATAGCCTAGTAGGTGTTCGCCAAAAACATGTGACGTAAGAAAAAGATAATAATGAAATTTCGAAAATTTTGAAAATAAATCAAGCTAAGAGTTGAAGTTTAAGAACATTATAATGTATATATCAAACAAAACGACATATTATGGTGTGTTTGAGTACGTAATCTTATATACCCTTAAGGGTATATTCACTTTTCCCATATATATATATATATATATAATATATATATATATATATATAACGATCGTTTTCCCGAGGTATAAGTTTATTTAAATTCCCGAGTTTTATTTTTGGGCTATAATAGATTTAGTTGAGAGTGGGCCTTTTGTTGGACCAAGATGTGTTCTGCCCATAAGTCGTACGCGGGGCGTAATGGGTTTAATGAATCGCGTGGAGGAGGGGCGTACGCGCAGCGTACCATAGGGTACGCCCAGCGTACGCGGCCGGGGGAAAACCCCTAATTTTAGGGTGAGATGTATTTAAACCCCATATAGCCTCCCATTTGGCCTCCTCACTTGTCATTCACCCCAGAGAAACCCTAGTTCGTCCCCTTGCTCCTTGCTTGTGTGTGTTTGACCTTTGAGCTTATTTTTGTGAAGAAGAAGAAGAAGAGAAGTGGAAGAAGGAGAACTTGAGTGCCTTGAGCTCATAGATCTGGGATCATTCCTTCATTTGGCATTCAAAAGAGGTATAAAGCTTTCAACTTTCCTTTTATAAGTTTGGATCTAGGAGTTTTGGAAGTTTAGACCTTTTTAGGTCCAAAGGAGGAACCTTTATCTTGCAACTTCGTTTTTGGAGCCTAGGATTGCTATCCTTGAAGCTCAAGTGTCCCCATAGCAGTAAAGTTTCGATCTTTGAGGCTTATTTGGAACCATGCATGAGATCTAGTTGGTTTTATGGAAGTAGAATGTTATTTGTGAGAGTTTGAGTCTTTATGAGACTTGTAAGCCATCAAGTAAGCAACTTTATGGATTAAGTCATTGAATAAGCCTAGGATTTGGAATTGTAGCATCTGGATCAGATTATTAAGCACTTAATGAAAAGTTGGCTTAACGAGGCTGTACGCTGGGCGTACAAGGAAGTACGCACCGCGTACAGACCACGAGCCAGTACGCTTAGTGTACCTTGGTATACGCCCCGCGTACGCCACCATTTTGGGCTTCGTGTGTTAGGCCTCGGTGTGTGCTAGGTTATAGGCTTAGGGTCCTTGGGCCTTTATGGCCCATCAAAATTCGGATGCTAATAACCAAGTTTTGGTATTGGGCTTGAGTAAGGCCCAATAAAAGGATTTAGGCCCAATATAGCAAATTGGGTCATTAGTGGGACTATAATAGGGGCCATAGATGGACTTAGAAGGAATTGAGTTTTGGACCATATTGTGTCCCACACGATAGTAGGGGGTAAAATGGTCATTTTACCCATAGAGGAACCCCTATTCTGATTTTGTGTTTATTTCCCATTATAGCCGGGAAGCAGCCGGAGCAGCCGTCAGGGATTTCTTATTCAGGATTTCAGCAGTCAGCATCACGAGGTGAGTTTCCTTCCAGTAGGAACGGGTGTAAGGCCACAATGCCGACCTGTTTAGTTAGTAGTAGTTTCCGGACTTCGGTCCGATGCAGTTGTTAGTGTGTTTGATGCCTTCGTGGCTCAGACAGGATTTATGTGTTTTGTGTTATGGGCTACGGCCTGACGTAGTATGCAGTATATGAGTTTATGATCATGTGTGTTATGCTAGTTGATAT